TGGGGCGAACATGTTTCATGGGAAGATGTTTTCCAGTAACATTGTGCTTTGAAAAATGAAGACGCTTAACAGAGCCTTAACAGGGGTTGCGCGTGCTCCACGGGTCCGTTCCTGAGCTCATGGCATCTCTTTTGGACAAGACTCGCTGGAGTGTCAACAGCGAATTCCGCTGCGCTTCGTCCTGGATTCGGTGGAAGATTTATTGTATCCAGCACTGTCTCCAGCAACGCATCGGGCTGTATAGCAAGTCGCGTGTGCAAGTAGTGCCGTTCCAATCTTGGTATCCAGGTATTTGCAAGATGCGTATATGCCAAAAAAGGAACGCTTGCGAAATCTGATCTCAGGATATGATGTCCATTCAGTGTGCTTCCTCGTTCAAGGCATAGCACTTTTCAGGAGGGTCCGGAAAGCAAGACTGCCTCCGGCTTTGCTTCAATGGCACTGGCACTGCAGCTGAGTACTCGCATACCAAAGCAGTGTAAGGCTAAGATTGTCCAATATTCTTGTGTGTGTGTCATACATAAAGAGTCGATGCAATTAATAAAGCATATAAATCATATAAACATTAACGACATTTGCCAACTGCTGCCTTTCCAAGTTGTCCATTTTGTTTTACAAGAAATACTTATTTGTTTGGAAACGAACTGGTCCAGTCCAGGAAAACTTGCCCTGCTGCAAGTGAGTCTATGTCAGTCTATGTTCCAACCACGGTCGACCATTCTGACCATTCAAGCAACTCCGACTGAACGGATACCGGACAGAGACGGGTACGACACCACGATTTAAGCTTATAGATCCAAACCACGCTTAGAAACGGTTCAACCACGAAAAAAAAAAACGCTAGTTTTAAACCACGATTTGGTTTGTTTAGGCATCACGTATATTAACCAACTCTCTCTTGTAAACTTTTTTTGGGTTTCATTTGGTTCGTTTGAAGTTAAATTATGTGCATATTAATGCTTCTAGTTCGGAAAAGCAATTATATTATAATTCGATGATGTGGCATTCCATTTGTAAATTCTTTGATTTGGTAGTTTGTTTTTTTTCGAAAAGTTTTCTGAGCAATGGGATTTTCATCAGGCAAGAGCTCCCAGAAGGCTCCAAGAAGGGGGTTAAGGATGAAAATTGAAGTTTAGGGACAAAAATTTAAGTTTAAGGACGAAAATTTAAGTTTAAAGGACGAAATTTTAAGTTTAAGAACGAAAAGTTAAGTTTAAGGACAAAAAATCTAGTTTAAGGACGAAAATTTAAGTTTAAGGACAGAAATTTAAGTTTAAGGACGAAACTTTTGGTTTAAGGACGATGTTTTTAGTTTAAGGACGAAACTTTTAGTTTAAGGACAACAGACATTTTTAGTTTAAGGACGATTTTTTTAGATTAAGGACGAAAGTTTTAAACTCAAAATTTTGTCCTTAAACTTAAAATTTTGTCCTTAAATTCAGAATTTTATCCTTAAGCTTTAAACTACAAATGTCGCCCTTAAACTAAAAATTTCGCCCTTAAGCTAAAAAATTCGTCCTTAAACTAAAATGTTGTCATTGAACTAAAAATTTCGTCCTTAAACTTAAAAAGTTGTCCTTAAACTTAAAAATGTGTCCTTAATCTTAAAATGTTGTCCTTACACTTAAAATTGTGTCCTTCCTTAGAATCACAAACCCAGAATCACAGACCTAGTAACAAATCACAAACCCAGAATGACAGACCTAGAAAGAATCACAAACCTAGCAAGGAGAAATGCTCAGGAACATGCCTGCAATACAGTAAATAAATGCTGAAGGCATTTTTTTGTGATATACTAGACAAAACATATAGAAAACAATAAATCGTGGCCAAGGTGATTAAAAAAAGAACGTAGTATGGGTATAAGATTAATTCGAGGTACATGAAAGTCAAGTCATAGTAACAAGAATTAAATCGTGGTTGGGGCCCCATCTGGTCACATTCGACAATGCCTGCTGGTTGGCCCCAACCTGAGGTCTCTCCGGTGCACTCAGGAGAAGCGACCACGAGAACGAGGGATCGATATTATGTATCGATCTGTGTTTGGATGTGCGTTTGCCTGCTCTCATCCACACCGCTTCTCATCTAGCAATTCTATGATTCCAATGTGATTCCAATATGATTCCAATATGATTCCAATCTATGCAATGTATTCTGTACACTTCTGCAGTATCTGAGATATCTACTGCTTTGGTGGACCGTTGTCTCGGCATGGCTGGGACGCCTCACCGGGACAAAGCTGCGCTACCCGAGCTTCACTTGGACTCCGCCAGAGCCGCTACTCATAATCTGAAAAATGAAGAAAAGTGATCTCATCATTTCCACATTTTCTGACATTTCAATCGGTGCAATCGTTTCAATCGTTTCTCTGACATTTCCTTAAGATTTCTCTAACATGTTTTTTTACATTTGGCACCTCGGCTTTCAGTGGTTCCAGGTTTGCTGGAGGCACTGGAGGTGGCATGGGTTCCTGAACTCTCCAAAGTCCAGATGCTGCTGCATGCAGCTCATGCAGCTGCGCTCTGCCACACTTCTCTTAGAATCTTGATGATGATCCACAATGATCTACGATGATCCATGCAGAAGATTGCGTAAAGCTGAAAAAGAAAGGCAGGCGCACCCTTCCAGGTTTGTCAGGTGGAGCAACAAGTCCAGGAAGATCCTATCGGATTACAATACAGCACGTTCTCTATCTGCATCCAATCCATATCCCACAGATCTTGCAGGATATCACACAGCTCATCGCACGGCAGGTAAAGATAAAGGCAGATAAAGGCAGAAAGAAAGAAAGCTCCAGACTCCACACACATCAAAATGCAGGGAGCCTCTCCATCCCGCTCAGTACTGCCACTGCGATTGGATGAACTCGGAGTGCGCCTAAGCTAAGCAGCTCGGACCCGAGAACTGCCGAGAACATGCCATTGCCAAGATGGCAACAAAAGTCGAGAACATGGCAACGAGTTGTGCTCGACTTTTGCTGACCGACTTCAGCACTGGACGTGTCAACAGAGCCCTTCGAAGGCAATTGGCCGCGGCCCTCATCTGTGTCAACCTGCCAGCCAGTCCAATGTCTAATAATTCTAATGTGGATACAACATGATACAACACGCAAAAACAAGCACTCGCCTCTCTTGCTGGCATAGCTGACTCTCGCAAAGTAGGGGCAGCCTCATGGTTTCAACCCAGTGCATCCACTTAGAATTGTACCTCGCATGACATCCAAAGCACTGCAACGCCCCATGTGATGCCATGTGATGTGGGCCTTTTCTACGAGCTGTAACAGTGAATCCAGGCGATCTTCGAGCTCCTTGAAATAGAGAATTTTGTGCAAACTGCAGAGGTTTGCATCAAATCCAAGGATTCCGAGTCGTGCGAATTGCCAAAACCAACGCTATGTCCATCTATGTCCGCTATGTATTGACTAAGACTGGTCAGTTCCTGGACGCTGGAGCCTTTCCGCATCTGTGATTCGACGACCGTCCTAAGCATTTATGGGGTCCGTCTTTGACTGACAGAGTCTGGGGAATATGGCAAAATATGGCGGAATGTGGGGGAATATATGAGAACACGGACTGAGTATGACTGAGTATGAATATGGTATGTTTGTCACAAATATGAAATATGAAAATAGAATGACAACAAACATTCAAATTCTACACTCACTTATTTCAGGAAGCTCCTAGCAGCCGCACCATGCCACTTGATTTGGAGCAGGTGTCTTGGGGCAGCACCGGAACTTGTCGCAAATGCTCTCGATAAAAGCTGTCTGATCCTGCTACGTAGCAACAGCAACGCTCAGGACTTTGAAGGATTTGCATACAAAGCAGCAGCAGCAGGGAGAGACCAAGAGCAACTTGTACAAAGCAAATCGGCCTGGGCAGCAATCTCCCCTCTTTCTGGATCCTTCCAGCCTGTCAACTCATGGTCGTGAGACACCGTGAGACACACAAAAATTGGGGAAAGATGAAATGCACCGCATGGCCTGGCTCGACAGTTGTTGCACGTCGGAACCTTGAACACAAACGGGGTCACAGGACGTGCAGGGGTGTACACAGCATACACAAAGCATACACACAGCATACAAGAGCATACGGATTCTCAATATTTCTGAAATATTTCTCAATACTAGGTGCAATTTGTGCAATTGTACACTCTCCTTGGAGCCTGGCACTAACACATAGTGAATGCAGGCCGCAACGGCAACTGTCAAAACCTGCAAGTGATCAGTTTCCAAGACAGAAAACGGGAATGATCATCCTGTGCATGGCAGCCAAAAGCTGCAAACCATCAACCGGTTTTCAGCTACTCTTCATTGACTTTGTATATCGATATTCATTTGTATATCGATATTCATATAGAGTCATCATTGAATATTAAATATTATTGACATCTAATCTAATGACGTCAATTCATCATGTGCCCAAGGCAAGACCTGCAGAGCACGCCAAGGTGATCACTGTCACACAAAGGTGAAGTATGGTGAAACTCTCCAAAGTCTCAGAGTTTCTGAGAGTTCAATTCTCGCGCAAACTTGTCGGACGGTCCGAGCAATGCACCACACCAGTAAAGAAAGCGAGTACGTGAAGCTCATCAAACCCACAAGACCTGCGAAGGCAACGCGTCATGTCTTTGAGAATGGCTGTTAGACATTTGACAATCGGGCTAAGGATCGGGCATTCTGAAACCGTTTGGACAACACCACCTTGCTTTGAAAATAGCAGAATCTTTGACAGGACTTGGAAGCATCAGTGCGATACAGCTTATATATGCTTATATATGCTTATATAGCAAATGACAGCGTCGATCAGACACTTTGAGCTGATCCTTTCTGCACTGTCTGCACTTTCTGGGCTTTCGACGCAAAGATATGGGCAGAGGCCAGGAAGGCCCATGTCGGAGCTACACATCTAAACCATTTGGTCCAAAGCTGCAGGTTGCTGTGCAGTTGCACCTTCTGCCAGGACTGTGCAAACACGTGCAAACACGAGCCTCGCACCTCTCGAGACTCAATAAAGTAACATGAAGCAGCATGAAGCAGAGCATGAAGCAGATTGAAGTCTTTTTATGTCTTTTTGTCATCTTTTTTGGCATTTCTCGGAACAAAGTAGCAGCGAGGTTGGGCTAGGAATGATAATGAAAGCTTTGGAGAGCAAAAAGGACAGCCTCAGACAGCTGGGATCCATCTGCGCATTGGGATTTGACCCAGCATGGGGTACTTGAGCACATGAAGGATACATGAAGCACATTGAGTTCATGCAACACATCCTCACGGCAAAGAAGATGCGCATGTGACATAGACAAGATTGAGGATGACTTCGGCCAAGAAGCCAATGGTGAGAAAGATGCACACGCTGCAGACTTCAATCCTTCCAGCAAGGATGCTCCACTTGCAGTTGCATTGGCCGGAGCCTCCAGCGAACCGTCACTGAGAATAATCTGACCATTCTGACCTTGAACGCAAAAATCGTAAAATGTAAAAATTGTAAAAGAAGCTTCTGCATAGCAACACTCTGGTGATGCACCGACGCACTCATTCTCATCAGTCTTGTTCTGGGCTTCACTTGTTATAAAATGTTATAAAATGCAGAGCACTACAGAGCATAGAAGGCCTTCGTTTCACTCTCTGCATCATCAGATTCCTCATCCCCTCCACCTACAGGTTGAGATAGGTTGAGACACGATCCATAGAGACAGCAAGATTCAGGAAGAACAAGAACCTTTTTGCCCATCTGTCCATCATTGTCCATCCGTGTTGTCTCCTCGCATCCTATTGAAAAAGCACCTCTGTGTTTGCATCAGGTGGGATCTAAAGTTGATTTCTTTTTCGCGGACTCATAAAAACCATGATGCACCCCTCCTGCTTGCGGAAGGATTTGTGCAATGTGTAAGATCACCATGGGGAGGATTGCACCACTATGTCGCTCTATGATGATGTGCCTTAATTCGCTTTGTTGTTATGTCATATGTCGTCAATTTCATCTCATTTATTTTTCATTTATAGTTCTTTGCTCTTTGGACCTCACTAGACCACAAGCCTGGGTTGGACATCGTTGGTGGCTCTACATCCTCTCGCGACACTGCAGCCACCACGGCAACTACTTTTGCCGGTGCAGAAGCGCTATCTCCGGTGACCTCGAAAATCAATGCTGAGCTTGTGAGATCTGAGTTGATCTTGATGTTTTTGTAGAATGCCACCTAGGGGTCCCACGACAGATTGGCCATCTGCTGAAGTCTGATCGCCTCCGGTCAAGGAGAAATGCCGAAAATGCCAAGCCCAAGGTTCACTGCAATCTGACACTATCGACTTTCGTGCAAATTCAGTGCAACAGGCAAACAACTCTGTCACAGGTCTGACACAGGTCTGTGACACCTTGACCAGATGCTATTCCAGCTATTCCTGTTTCTGAAGTCGCGCTGAAATCCTGAGGGGTTCAGGCCACAACAGCAAGTCTGACACAATCCCGGTCTGAAGAGCACCGCTCTGGAACCACAAAACCACTCACAAGTCTGCAGCTGCATCCTTTTAGATTTAAGAAACTTTGCTCAGAAATTCACTTTTGTTGGTACACAATTACACAATTGGATCATGTGCGTGCGGAGCCCTCATTAAACTGAGAATACCCAAGCAGCAAGCATAACCAGTCGAGAAAAGAGATTATGATCGCAATGAGCATTTATGGATACATGGACTTTAACATCTCTTACTTAATTTACATGTGGAGAGATTTGTCTAAACCAGACAAGACTCGCAAAAAGGACTGGTATTCATGTTTGCTCACTGCTACAGTTGGTGCCCGATGCGTGTGCATCTAAGGGGTGGGTAGGGTCTCCTCCAAAAAATGTTTTGTGTTGTTTGTTTTCGTGCTTTGCAGCGACCGCAACTCACACCTTTGAGCTCCAGAAAATTGAAGGGGGAGCGGGGTTCAAGAAAGGATTTGTGTTTGCAATTTGGAGCCTCCAAACCCTCATTTGCCTTCCTGAGTTTGCTATTTTTTGCAGCCAATCCTTGAAGATGCCTTTGGGTAGTCTCTTAGTTTAGGGTTGCGGGAACGGCCTACAAGAACATGAATATGCTCCAAAGGACTGACAGAGAATGTGGCCGCTTTCTGGCTCGCTCCACACTGTCGTCTGGTCAAACACTAACCCTGAGCAAAAAAGCCATGTACTACAGACATCCAAAGACATCATAGAAATTCATGACCAGCAAAGCCGCTCTGAAAGCTGAGCAAAGGACCACTTTCTTGATAACACCTGTTGCCTCAGTGTTCCAAAGCAAGTCGGATTCCCTGAGCTTTCATGGCAAGTCATGGCATGGTTTCTTTAGGAACTTGGGCCGGAGTTGAGAAGGTCAACACCTACTCCTCTGCAGATTTCACTCGTGTTGTAGCAAGGTCAGCTACTGGATGCTAACCACAAGGATGCTTCCAGCGTTGTCATCATCACATCCAAGTCATCCAAGTACTTTACCATACCAAATTGTGCACCCAAAGAAAAACAAAAGACAAGATGTTTTGGCACCACCCGCACACACAACTGCATATCAATTTGCTGGAGAAGCGCCGAGAAGCTGAACAAGCAGCGACCAACAATTTCTCGTACCGAATTAGGAAAGCTGCCAAATTGATAGACACCCGTACACCGACTACAGGAGCTGGTCCAGCTGAGCTGGTCAAAATATTTCTATATCTCGATCGACTCTGAAGTCTGCGCAGATAAGGATAAGAAGTCGTCGAGTCTGGAGTCTAAAGGATGCAGCAAAAAGGAAGGCAGCGACTTTAATGCAGCCGGAACTCAGCTGTTGTTGTGGTGGTCGTCTGGACCACTGCCGATATTCGGCCCACTTTGACTGTCCTGTGGACTGTAGACACGTGACATTCTTGCTGTTGTTTTGACGTTTCTCAGATGTTCACTGCCAAAATTGTGATGCCTTGTACGCAAATGAACACCAATACAATAACAATATTGTCATAATAAATCAAACGATCAAGATCTGCAAAAGTAAACTGGGACTCTGGCAAATCAAGACCCTCGTCTACAATGCAATTTTGGACCTTCAAACTCATGATGGTCAGATCCTCACGGCACCAATTGCGCAGCGCTGCAATGCAACAAGTCAGAGCCTAAAGGCGTGCATAGTGCATGTGATGCAGCGTGTGTGGGTGGGTGGGTGGGTGGGTGGTGTTGGTGCCTGCCATTGCATTACAAAATCGCGTGTCTGACCCCGGCCAAAATATTCACATTGAATGTGAAACTACACTGCACAATGAACCCAAACAATCCTCTTTTTCCAACTTCTCCACGACGTCATCTCCAGTTGTTGTAGACGTCAAGGGAATGGTGATCACAAACCTTAAAGGACGTGAAATCTGCAAGATTTGGACGAGTTCCCTCTGTGATGTTCAATGCAAGAGCAATTCGCTCTTCGCTCTTCAGAGGACATTCACATGACGGTGCAGTGACAAGTCAAGCTACTCGCCAACATTCAAGCACAGAAGAAATGGAAAGCGGTTTTCCAGTCAGGTTCAATTCAGACTCAATTGAGGCCCGAACCAAGCTGATACTTCGTTCTCGAATGACTGTTCTTCATCAAGAGGTGCTAGAGTCGTGACCTTCACGGAGCACCACAGAGCTCTGAGAATCCACTAGAAGTCCGGAATCACCAAGTCACGCCACACTGAGTCACACAGTCACACATTCAAAAAACAAATCAAAGCCAATCAAAGCGCTAAACATGGTAAAACATGGTAAAACTGTAAAACTCTGCTCATCTTGGAATTTTGTCTGTTTCCTGAGTTTCCTGAGTTTCCTGAGTTTCCTGAGTTTCCTGAGTTTCCTGAGTTTCCTGAGTTTCCTGTCAGACCCTGTGCACGGGCCTCATGGGCCTCCGTATCAGACTGGAGAAGTGAATCGAGCGAGTCGATCCGTGACTGACGAGGGCGTTTCATCAGAGGGACCGAACAAGATGAACAAGCATAGGCAACCACAAACGGCGAGACAAATTTCCCATTCTTTTCTCAATTTCATACATATATGGAGGAGCATTGCAGCATGGCCATTCCGTTTCTTGCCTTATCACTCGGCACCACTGATACTCGGACACCTGGCTGATTCTGATACTTCCAACTACTGCAGGCCCTTGAGAGTTGCGTGATACGGATGGTGGACAAAGTAGACACGGTCAGATGGTCAGCACAAACAGGGCAGGATCGCTGTCATAGGAAACACCAGCAAGTTGGGAGATAGCTTGCTTCAAGCCCTGGCAACCATCGCAACTATGGCAATCCTTGCAAATACCTATGCATAGAAAATACTATAGTATCTAAAGAAAAAACAATATATACTAGTTCTATGGATTTTTATTTTTTCTATTTATGTCCATTCATTTTTATTTATGTCTATTCACGTCTATTTATTTCTAATATTTTCTAATGGCATAGCTTGCCCACATAAGATAGGCGAGGATAAAATATGTTTTGATATACGTGTGTTTGAACTTTCGGAGGATTCTCAAGATTCAAGATTGCCCAAAGAAATGTTTCCTAGAATTGTCATCTTGGAGCCTCTTTCAGGTACATCAGGTACTTTAGAGTCAGAACTTGCAGCACGATGTTCCAATGTACTAGTAAAACAAACATGCAAAAACAAAAAACAAGATTGACCGATTGACCTCATTGTTTTGGTCTGTAATTCTGTTTCAGGCTTGTGGCTTGAGAAACTCTGAATCAAGAAAAAATGTTTTTTTGAATGTGAACATTTAATGTGTTTTGTGGGTTTCCAGAGGACACTCAGCAGGGTACAGATCAGATCTCGTGTGTGTGTGTTTGATGCTTACATGCCCATGTCTGCTGTAAAGCACAACTTGTTGGGTGAAAATATCACCTGTGTTTCATTTCTCGCAACATAAAGACCTGGAAAACAATCCAATCCATTATTGGACATGTCACCAAAGTTACCAACAATCAAGAAAATAAACTATTGGAAACAAGCTTGGAGTTGCAATGTCTGTTTGTCGTTTTTCGTTGCCGGCTTGGTTTTGGAAAACAAATGACTTTTAGTATTTGATGTGCCATCATAGTCTTGGATGTTGGCATTTTTTGTGATCTTGGAAATGCTATATTTTGTGCATTTCCAACAGTGCGTATATATATATGTTTGGTGAATGCGGACGTTGTATGACTTTGTGATTTTGAATGTATCTTAGATACCTTGGAGTCTTGGAGGAAATTCATTGCTAAAGCATCTGTTCAAATCACAATCTGTCATAAATGGTAGGATATACATGCAAAGACGTCAATACATATACACGCATAGATGAAGATCCTAGATGTAGATTTCATATATATATATATATATCTATATATATATATACACGATTATATACATACTGGTACACAATTTCATAGATTACATGATGTTCATTCTGATGCTCATTCTACTCTTGTCTTTTTTTGCCCATTCACTGTACCATGCTGAACCAATATTTGTGGGACGTGTTGGCACAAGACATACTGAACCAAGCTCCGGCTGGAGCTCTTGCGCCTCTTCAGATCTATGATCAGCTGAAAATGAATTCGGATAGTCTGTGATCATTTCCAGAACCTTGCAGACAATCCGAATGGAGACGTTGCAGATGCGCCACTTGCAGACTTGAAACATCTCGAAGCATCTCGAAGCATCGTGAAACACTGAGCAGCAGGCCCCTGTCACTTTTGTACAGCTCTTGCAGAGGTCCAAGACTCCTGACTCCTCCTCCTCCTGAACCTGCGGAGTCGATAAAGGTAAGTCAGTCTGTCAATCTGACTTGAATTATGTGTTTTTCGTTGTTTTTTTCCTGCTGCAGCACATAAATCACATAAATCACATAATTTCTGCCTGGTATTCATCACCATCTGCCTTTGCAAGAATTTGGATCACCTGCACAGATTGCCGTGCAGACCCAAAGAGGGTTACATTCAAGCTCCAAAGGAATAAAATGCCACCTATACAATAGGCCTCATATGCACAAATGAATTTGAACCAGCCTTGCTGTCTGCATTTGGCAGCCCTACTCCGTCTAAAAAGAAGTTTTCTCTCACAGTTGCATCGTCAAGATCCTGCGCAAAATGCATCGAAAATTTGTATATAATTATTTCTGCCAAGAAAGAATGCTTCGAGTCCCCATTTTGCCCTTTCTTTCAAAATTCCCTGTTGAAAAAAAAAAACTAGTCAACGACCAGAGGACTGCAAAATGTTTTCCATCAAAGAGTTTGTCTTCTAGCCAATGGTCATCCTTTCCCGCTAGTCCTTTGCAACTGAGACTCTGGAGGAGCCAAACATATATATATATATATAATTATATATATACATATACATATAAATGCCTGTTTTTGTCTCAAAGCGTGAAAGGAAATGAAACTGGCAAGGGAGAGCAGTAGATTGGGAAAAGCCTAGGGAGAAACTTCCTTCGTTTCCTGTGAGCTGACTCTTCTAGTCTCTGCAACCTTCCAAGCAGTCCTGTGACATCATCGACGCAGCAATTCTGCGAGCTTCGGCAACTGCTGTCTCCCGTGCTGGCTGCACGGTGCCTACGAGACTGAACCTCACAACTACGAAATTGCAGGAGCGAATTCCAAATTTGAATGCTTGCTGACATTTGCCTGATTGAAGGCATCCATGTGCCTTTTGGGTAGAAGGAAAAGAAAGAGTTACAAGATTTCTGGATTTTGTTTTATCTCGGTCCAGGTGCTGCTTGTTGTGCACTTGTCTTCCCAGAAATCACGATTGCAAACTTTATCAAACTTTCATTTGGCTTACGACCTGCAACAAAACTGTCCATTCTGTCCTGTCGGTCCGTAGTAACACGCGCTCCTGCTAGGCCTGCTAGGCTACGAGGGTTGGATGCGAAAATGTGCATACCAATTCATGAATGCGAACTTGATGAGTTGCTGCATGGAGTCGCAATTCGGCTAAATCCTAGGACTGCGTTGGAGTGTTAAGGAAGCCGTGAAAAGAAAAGGAGTTTCGAAAGCGAGCAAAATTGAATCTATGCAACCCTAGAGATTGATGACCACACCTCAGAATTTCATTGTTTTCACAGCACATTCCTTGTTGTTTCTTGAAACACAATCAAGCCATCCATTAGTCTCCAAGAGAAGCTCAAGTGCTTGACAAGCTCGGAAAAAAAAAAAACTAACTGCAGAAAGGAAAGGGACCCAACTTGCAACTTGGCTGAGCAAGGGATCCAAGGATGAAATCCCGGCCCAGGAGCGAATGTTCACAACAAGAAACACGGCCCCGGACACAAACTCTAAGTTGAGAAGGCGGAAGAGGATGGTGAGTCAGTGTAGCCCGCTGCGGCAGGTTTTCGTGACCACTTCTGACAAATTGTCACCGCAGTCTCGCGGAACAACTGGTGAGCACCGCCAGCATGAACTGTGATTTTTGGAGAAAACGCGCCCATTCCAAACTGTAAGCATCTGTAAGCAAAGATCTACACCAGTGTCGATCCGCAGGATGGAGAAAAGTTAGAGCTGTAGAAATCAGCTCAGGGTGGAAAATTACATTTGATTCAAATCATTTGATTGATTCTTTTAGGAACCACTTTCCCAGATTTCGTTGATCGGCTGACTTGTCTGGAAAGATTGATGCCAGGTGCCCTTCTTGGCTGCACTAGTCATCTTGTCTGGTGTTCAATCCTGCTAAGTCATGTTATGTTGCAAGTGCCAACTGCTCAAATAATACAACAACTCACCCGAGTAAAATCATTCAACCTTTGAAGCTGTGATGCGGCTTCATGAACTAAGATATACATCATATCGCAAAAGTCTTAGACCTTTGTGTGTCAATGTAAATGTATCTGAGCACGGGACCAAGCATGCACCTCCGCCGAGCATCAATTCGTACCAAACGTTAGCAACAGGATAAAAATTGCAAAAAAATATTGCAAAATCATCCAAGCAGAGAACTGCTGACAAGAACGGTACAGATGTTGCAAGCCATGCCTCCCCTGTTGCGTTGCGAACTGAGTCACTGGGAATGGCAGCCTCTGCGATTAAGCTGTCTGAGTCATATATATGTCATATCCCAGCCGCTATCAAGTTGAGCATCACACGGACTGCTCTGTTCCGCTCTCAGTCCCAAAGTCCCTTTCATAGTGATAGACCTTGGGGAGGTCTCTCTCGTTTGCAAACGGGATCGCTACTGTCATTGATCGCTCACTGGCCTGGTCTGGAATCAAAGATGCGTGAACACCTGCACAATCTGGACAATCTGGACAATCTGCACATGTATGGACGTGTATGGACGTGTGAGCTTGGATCTCAGGCGGAATTGTTCTACATTAGTGTTCTACATTAGGACTCCAGAATCCTTTTGTAACTTTTGTAGTGTTGTTGGTTGTTCTGACGGTCTGACCAGGATAGCAGCAGCCTGGTTGTGCGATCCCAGAGAGTTCTGAAAGAAGCTTCTCAGTAGCCTGAAAGCAACGTGATACGAAAAGTGTTGTGCGGTTTTGCTTCCATAGAAAAAAGGCAAAGTGTGGTATCATGTAGTATCAAACCTATCAAAACTATCACGAAGTCAAATCTCGCCTCTTTTGCTTTTACATCTTCGGCAAACTTCAAAGGCTGCAGCACAACCATCTTCACAACCTGCCATGTCACAGTTGTCACACGTTGCTATCAACCAAAAGACCCAACTGTGAAGACGCCGCAAGCAAGACCCCTGTCAATCTTGTGGCATTCGGGTTATTTGATGCAGCACCTCAAGCAGAACAATGTGCACGGCTGACAAGTTTGAGTTTTGTCTGGCCCATGCCGGTCATGCTCATTGGCTTAAAAACCGAGCGCTCAGCTGTTGTTGGAGCTTGTATTAGTTGTATTACTCGTCTTGCTCTTGTTAAGCCCACTCCTGAGCAGTTCCCACATCGGGCATGGTTGGCCAGCACTACTTCAATTCCAAGCTTGCAAATTTCTTATTGCATGCTGAAATTAAGACTGTCACATCGCATTCCAATGGACGCTCAACTTCGAAATGTTCACAAGAACCGACACCCCTGCATCGCATTGCTGAAGAGATCCGAAAAAGGTGCATAGATACAGGAGCACAAAGCAGCAATTCAAGGCTCACAAGGCTCGCAATGTTTGGCTCACAACATGCTTGACCTGTCTTGACTTGTGTCGACTTGTCTTGACTTGTCTTTACTTGCCTACCCTTCGTAGTTTGCTACGCAGAATCTTCCCTGCTTCGTAAAGGTCCTTCCGGATCGGAATTGCAATGCACTCACAGCACTGGGCTGTCCTCTGTTTTCGAATATCCTTCCCAGTTGTTGATTTCGTGGTTCCTTCTCGTCATCTTGCTTCATTTCTCGCGTTTAAAACCCACCATTCCCTGTCCTTTGATGAGATGTGGTGGAGCACTGCAGTGATGTTTGTGGAATTTGGAATCAGCATACTAAACCTTGGAGGCAAAGGTGAAAGCAAAGGTGGTCAGAAGTTCTTGGCCAAATATGTCGAGACTACTCCAGGGGCTTGTCCCTGAGGTAGTGACCAATCGATGACATCCTGAGATTTCGAAACATCAGGCATCATAGAGACGTGGACGCCTGGCTCCAGACTGATGAGTTCGGTACAGCTCACAATTTTCTCAACTTCAGCGTTGGAAAGGTTTTGAGGGTTGGCTTTGTGTAACAAAATTTGCATGGCTTGCAATAAATGCTCACATCTACTTTCCAATTGATTTCCCCTTTTCACATTTGCCTTGATTGGATTTGCAGTGCAAACAGGCAGGAAAAACGTCGAACTGGCAGCTCAGCAAACTCAGCCAAGGCTTCCCGGCTGACCTATCACAGTTGCTGGTTGGTTCTGCTTGGTACATGATGGACGAAAGTGCACACAGATACCAAGCAAGTTAAATCTAAATCCAAGTATACTAAGTAATAACCATGCATGGAAGTGCATGATCTATGCCAGCTGCATGACCCAGCTTTTTGCCTGCTCCACTAAAGGAGTGGCGGCATAGGCAATTGGGTCTTCGGTTATGATGTGCATCGCCTCTGAGCCAGATGGTCCATGATGGTACTCAATGGTCCATGTCGTTCAAAAAAGATCTCAGTTCTCTCAGTTCTGAGCCGTTTGGACCAGTCCATTGAGTACCAGGCCCCTGTAATCTGGGTGGCTAGACCCTTGCGAAGCAGCTCTTCTGTTGTCACCTTGGGCTGTGCAGCGGGTTGGAACACGTCAATTTTGTCCGAGCGCACATTGATATACATTGTTTCTTAAGGTTCGATCGCCCCCTGGTTGTGACACCTATCTTTGGCACATCCACCTTTTGATTCCTAGTCAGATCAATCTTCCAAGCTGCACCAACTTAACCCTGTCTTTAGGACAGTTCATCCATCATCCTACTTTGGCAGTGCAAACAACAATATAGAGGCTCAACTGTCAGCCACCTTGTGATGGAATAGTCTATGACAGCTAAAGGAGCCAATGGTTATGCCTGATTCGCATAATAATTGTGTACCAAAGCTTGCATTCTTCCTTGCATCTGTAGTGCAACCCTGGGATTCAGACGCAATCTGTTCCATTGCATGGCCCAGTCTGCAAAGAGGGAACAATGTTTTTTGCCAAGGCTTCCGAAGTAAAGGGGCGCCAAAAATTGCTCGACAGAATTGCACCAGTTGCACCTGGTGTCTGGCACCCAGGCATGTCTGTCCACCATGTAGTGCTGGCGTGCTCACCAAGCGATAACGAATGGCCTCACAAACCGTCGCCCGTTGGGCCCGTTTCATTCCGGTAACCGTCGTTTCGTTGCTCTCAGTTGCTCTCTCAAGACAGTCTGGTATGGGGCGCACCGAGCCCTCTCCGCAAGGCTTGCTGCATTCTGACCTTGAGCAACACTGAAGCTGATCACCAAGAACACCCGCAAGCACCGTATGAAGACTGTATGAAGACTATTCAAGACATATGAAAATATTTACAAGTTGCCTTCAAGTTGATATGTTGCCAAGGCCCAGTCCAGTCTTCCCAGTCTCCAAAACCTAAATTCAGCTGCTGGATTTTTTTGCATCAACATTCCGAAAGTGAAACATCTCCTTATGCCATGAGGTAATTGCATCAAATTTCTTTGACCAGCACTTTTGGATACATGCCGTGTAATATATCTGTATCTATGCCAATCTGTTTCCATCTCTGTCTATCTTCTTGTCTGGACATACATTTGTGTACGCGCATGTGGGAAGCGACCTCCCCTCAAAAAGTACTCCCTCTAAGTTGAAGCTGAAACGGTTTCAGCAATACTTCGCACGAAACTAAACGGTTACAGTATTTGAACAAAGTTCGCAAACTTCGCAGGACCAATTAACAACAGCGTTTCACACAACAAAAGGGAAGTGCTCTCGTTGACGGCTCTGGGATCAGCCCAATGGACATCAAAAACTAAATCAGATTGAATACATGTGCTAAATAGCGCTAAATGAACCACATGTGATCTTGGCAGTCTCTCAGTAGTTTTGTTCAGCAAGACCATGCATGGTATCTGTTTGAGATACTCCAGGCACTTCTCTGCGGCCTTCCTATCTTTCTCACCCAGTTTCATTGTCATCAGCTTCTGGCTGCAGTGACAATATGTCTGACACCAAAACATTTCCATGTAGCGCCAGCGCTTTCATATTCAAGATAGTCAGCAATGAAAAACAGAATCCAAAGGGACAGGACAGAGACCCAGGGGAGCTTGAAAGTATAAGATAGAAGTGCCAGGAGAGAGGCAAACAGGTCAACTATATTATCTGCCATGTGCGATGTATATATATATATATATATTATCATAAATATATATATATATATATTATCATATGTATATATATTATGTATATTAAATGATATACTTATATCATATAGATATTATAAATATCTATATACATATTATAGTATTATTTATTGTATACATATATATAGAGAGAGAGAGATTTTATATATATATATATGCACATATATATATATATATATACTTATAAATATATATATATCATTATATTATATCATATTATATAATACTATATCATATTATACTATAGGATACTATACTATTCTATATATATACCACATTTTACTATATCTAATTGTATTGTATTATGTTTTAATTGTAATGTATGAAATCATTTTCTATTATATTATATTGTATTATATTATGTTATATTGTATTATATTATATTGTATTATACTATAGTATATTTTACTGTACTATATTAAAAAATTGTAGTATATCATATAATATTATATCATTTAATATTAAATTATATATTGTACTGTATTATATTTTATTATACTATATTATATTGTATTATATTTTATTGTACTGTACTATATCAAAGTATATTACAGTATATATAACATATCAAATAATATCATATAATATCATATAATATCATATAATATCATATAATATCATGTAATAAATTATATTATGTATATATATATATATCATATCATATTATATCATATTATATTATATTACATTATACTATATTCTGTTATGTTGTATTATATTTTATAATATTGTATTATATTATATTCTATTGTATTATATTATATTATACTATATTACATTATACTATATTACATTATATATTTTATTGTATTGTATTATATTATATTATAATATAGTATATTATATTAAATATTATATTCTAGTATATTGTATTATATTAGATATTATATTTTATTTTATTTTATTATATTATTCTATTTTTGTACTGTATTATATTGTATTATATTATATTAAATTATATTACATTATATTACATTATATTACATTACATTATATTATATTATATTTTATTATATTATATTATATTATATATTATATTACATATTAAATTATATTATAGATTATATTATATTATATTATATTATTTTATTTTATTTTGTATTATATTATATTGTATTATATAATATTATATATTATTATAGTTATTACATTATATTATATTATACTATATTATGTTATTTTATTTTATTTTATTTTATTTTAGTTTAGTTTATTTTTTGTATTATATTGTATTAAATTATATTAAATTATATTACATTATATTACATTATATTACATTATATTACATTATATTACATTACATTATATTATATTCTATTTTATTATATTATATTATATTATAGATTAGACTATATTATATTATATTATTGTTTTTTTATTTTTTGTATTTTATTATATTATATTATATATTATTATAATATATTACATTATATTATATTATATTATACTATATTATATTATATTATACTATATTATATTATATTATTTTATTTTATTTTTTGTATCATATTGTATTATATTATATTTATTATATTAAATTAAATTATATTATATTATATATTATATTATATTATTATAGTATATTAAATTATATTATATTATATTATATATTATATTATTATAGTATATTACATTTTATTATATTATACTATATTACATTATATTATAGTTTATATCCTATATTTTTTTAAATTATATTTTATAGGTATTAAAAATTTGCCATTTGCACTCGAGCAAAAAGACTGCAGTGTTGCTGAGTCAGTCACGGCAGTCTTGTGGGCATGGCGCTTTGGCACACTTTTTGACATCCCTTGTGGAGCCTCAGAGTGAAAATGATGGATCACATTGCTGCCACACAAAGGACAACTAGGGACAACGAGTGTCTACTAGTGACCACCAAGTCAAGTGCCCATGCAATCTTGTCCACCATGCGCAGCGGGGACAGATACATTCCGCAACCGTTCTGTGATTCCGATGCCGCAGGACTTTGTGCAAGCCTTCGCCGTGCCGATTCGTCTGAAGCCCGAAGACCCGAAGATCAATGGAAATCTTTGTAGATCGTAGAATGAAACTAGTTCAGAACGGCTCAGCTCAGGCCTTCCACTCTCCCCAGTCATCCCATACGCATTCAACAGGGCATGGGCTCTGACCACACCTTGGATTTCACATGTGTGTCATCTGGGGTAAGATCGTATCACCTCTTGACCAGTTGATTCGCTTTGATCCTTATCCAAACAGACTCTGCTTACTGGAAGCACAACGCAATGAGACTCTGAATCATGGAAACCTCCCCTACTTTGGCCCTACATGGAGAATGGAGACGGCAAATTTTGAAGCCAACAATGTAGCTACTCGATTCATAGAGAGAGGAGCTAAGTGCGATGCAGTGTTTTCCGCTCATCCTGTTCCAGGGCAAAATAAATTGAGTAGGGCCACAAACACACAAAAAAAGACTCCGATTCTCAAAGCTGTCAAACGTATGCATAATGCCAAGTGCCGCCAGTACAAAAAACTTCCAAAAGACTGTCCTGACCCGTGCACGGTTTACCACCGAGACTTTCTTTCACAGCCCTCTGGCGGGTGCTTGTTGCCTTGCGAGTCCATCAACTTTAATTCAAAGCCGTAACATTTGAAGGGATCAAATTGGATCAAACATGACCAAACGACCAAACATGACAAAACTCTCTATGTTTCTATGTCTTCTACAGCTGAGCCGGCAACCCACAGAGATACGTTGCTGCCACAAGAGATGCCTGCAGCTGGAAGATGCAAAAACTTCCCGTCGGGGGGATAACCGCGCCAGCGTTTTGAACGTTTTGAAAAAACATGTCGTTTTCGCCAAAGCGAAACTACTGATTCATTCCCCGAAATAGGCTTAAAATTCCCTGGGGGGTTGAAATGTTTTTTGATGATGTCCTGCAATTTACAGGAAATTTGTTCTTGAAATGGTGAGCGATGTTTTTCCCTCTCACATCGCCATGCGCTTCTTCAAGGAGCGACCAGTGACCTCCAAAAGGCTTTTGGTTTTGGAGTTCATCCAACGCCACTGCCACACCCTGATGCTTCGCATCAATTTTGGGTTCACATGGCGGTTGGTTCTGGTCGAGAGACTACATGGTATGGCCGACTTTGACAGTCTCGCCACATCGCATCGACCCCACCTGTGTGAATCAGAACATTTTGAGTGGTTGCAAGCTTCATGGCGCCAACCAAACTTGTGACTTAAAGATGGATAGCATGGTGCCCCATCGGTGATCAACATGGTTTTCTGGCCAGGGGACTGCCACAAGATGTTGCAGGAACCCTTGAGGCTAAATGAAGAAGATACATAAAACAAAGTGAAGAACAATTGACAACATGAAGCTCAGGGTCGACAGCTTTATATCTGTATCAACATCTATTTTACATAAATATCAACATCTGTTTTATATATGTACCTACTTCTGTCCCCATCCTACATTTATGATGCCAGCAAGGGGATACCCAAGACACGACGTTAACACCCGCCCAAACCCAGTGACGTGACGTAGCATGTGCATGTGACGCAAGTTAACATGAACGTCAAAACCCATCCCAACCCAGCTTCGTCATGTGCATGAGACGCACGTTCACATGAACGTTGACACCCTCCCCAACCCAGTGACGTGACGTAGCATGTGCATATGACGCAAGTTAACATGAATGAACGTTAACACCCCCCAACCCAGTAACGTGACGAAGCATGTGCATGAGACGCAAGTTAACATGAACGTTAAGACCTCCTCCTCCCAACCCGGTCAAAAATGTGTGTTTTCTCAAAAACGTGCACGACTACTGGCGCGGTTTTCCCCCCGCTGGCAAAAACTTGAAGAGAGAAATGCGAGGTCAAAAAATGAACCAACATGACACGAGACTGACACCAAGCTTAGATATGGTGGTTGATCTAAATTCTTTTATCTGGAAACCGCCATTCTTCAAGAAATGAATTTTTACTTTTGCAAAACTTTCCCGAACTCAATGTTTATCTTTCGCGGCACCCATGTGGGGCAACAATGCCTACTTTGAATTCCTTTGAAGTCTTAATAGTTAGCTGCCAAATGATCATAGATTACTTCATGGTAGCCTTGTAAACACGCAGGTAGCATAACATAATCCCTTCTCAGGACAGATGCTTGCTTATTGGGTATATATTTGATTGTGTGTAAAATGCTTACTGGGCCACCCCCTTCAAGATGCACTGTCACTTTCGCCCGCTCCTTCACGCAACTTTCGCAGAAAGTTGGCGAATATATCCCTAGAGCCTATAAGGTATATTATGTCTACAATGATGATTCATAATATCCAACTTTTGCGAAACTCTCACAAAAGCAAACTTTACTTTCGCGAACTCGAAAAATAACTTTAGCAAAGGTTCGAAACATACTATGAATGGTCTTCACAGTCAGAACTCTTTACAAGGAGTGCACACATAGAATATTATTGCATATGTTTGCATATGATCCTATGAATCTTGACATCTTCAGTCACTCTACCAGAGACGTTGAGGCAGCCACCGCACTCCGTCCATGAGCTCCAATCTTCCCACTGGCAGTCAACTGGACATCCCTCTTTGTAGCACGCGCTTTCCTTCCACAGCACAATACTCGAAAATTAAACACTCCTTGCATCGCATTGCAACATGTTGCCCAACATGTTGCAAAATGTTGCAGGCCTCTTCCAGTGCTTCAGTGCAAGGTTTCCCACCTTCTGCCTCAGCTTGAGCTAGACAGCTTGTGCAGCTTGCGCAGCTTGCCATTGAAGATGCTGCGTTCAAAGCCCCGTGCTGCTTTCGACACGACTTTGCGCTTGCGGACGCTGGTGCCATTTCCGCAGGACACAGAACCTAAGTAGGACTCCAAAGAGGAGACTTGAATACAATCGAAAGCTACATTACTACATTGGCATAACACTTTTCGTTCAAAGACTCGACTCTTCACCAGGAACAACTCTACCTGGCTCTAAAAACTAGTGTTTACCATCTCAACCATCTGTTGAGTTTAGCTGTGTCGTTGCAAGCTTCTTGCTTGAGTTCCTTCAACCGTTCGCGTGAAACTGAGTCATTAGCAAATGGTCCATGCACTCCAATCTCCTAGTTCGCAGTCCTGCCGGCAAATTTGGCCAAATGTTACTTCTTGCAGGATAGCATTTCAGCCTTTCAGCGTTTGCACTCCTGTGGGCAGGCCTGAGACGGGGAAACATCCAGAACATCTATGAACAAACACTGAGCAGCTCCTCAACATGACATGTCATGACAACAAATATATTGAAATATCATCAATTGACAAGCGCATTGCCATCTTTAGAAAATATATGAAAATATTGAAAGGCCAAGGTCCGCCTTCAGACTGCAAGCCTCTTCGTCTCTAGAGGCACCTTCGCACTGTCGTCCTGAGAATTACATGCTTGGGGTGCACCACGGGTGCACCTCTGCACATTTCACACAAATCAAAGAGTTGTGAGAAAAGACTGAAAAGACTTTGTGGAACTTAGGTCCCTGCCACCTCCAACTGGAGCTTCTCCTACAGACCTAGTTCTCCTGGGCACAACCATCTAGTGGAGAACAGAACGTCAAAGGAACAAGGGCAAACGCCGCAAATGACATCCGGAATAATCAGCCAGCAATACAGCTTGACTCCACCATCGCAGCTTGTGGAACACGCTCCCCAAGCGGTCCAGTCCTAGGAGTGTCTTGCAACAAAGTGCTCATGCTCGAGCTGGCTGGCTCACCCTGCCCTAGCTGGTATCAGGATCTATCCGAATCGATCTTCACAGTGCTGAGGCAGAAGCAGCCCATTTGCAGTCTCGACTGCAAGGTTGTGTCTTGCAATCCTTTCAGGCAAATGCTTTTCAGGTAGTGTCTTCGATGCAAGTCTGAAGTCTGGCCAAGGGATCTTGCTGGCCTCAATCTGAATACCCTCTGTAGGGTTGCATGGCCTAGTTCCATGATCTGCAAGAGCGAAAGGGGCAAAGGAGAGACTTAGATGTTTACGCAAGTGCAGATTCATACATGCTGAGGTCAAGGCTTGCCTAGAGAATTGTTCTGAATCTTTACCGGTTTACCTCGCTGACGAGTACCACCATCACAAGAGGCGGTACCTCAGCGGACTGTTTCAATGTGCATTGTGCGAAAGTGCTAGCCCATTTCACAATCTTTCAGCTGCTCAGTGCAGTGTGCAAGCAAATCGCACATCGCGCTGGCGGGTCTTAGGTCTGCACAACCACTCCAGTCATGCCACAAGCCCCATTGACAGTCTATGGGGCAGTCGAATTCATTGCAAATTTCGAGGTCCTGCACTGCTGTACTTGCAGAAACCTAAGCTTTAACTCAACATCTTTCCAAGTCTGCGAAAAGGACATAATTGCTCAATGATTGTCGCAAATAGCAGGTGTGCAGCCTTTTGACAAGCATCAGCTGTGTCACCCTCAACTGTACAGTTGTCTTTGCTTTGGTGACGCGCGATTCACGTGATATAGCTAGATCTCGTCAGGTCAGAAGTTCAAAGTGCACAAAGCAATGCCAAGTGTGCTGAACGGAATAGCTCTGTGTGCAGTTATCCCATCTTATCTCGGTGTCACGAATGACTTGGAGTCTCAGAATGCTGAGATTGGCGGAGCTGGCATCATCATCACCTCAGAGTTGGAAAGTCCTCCCTTGGGCCCCTTGCACCTTCCTTGCACCTTCCTTGCAATGCTTGCAAGCACTTGCAATGCTTGCAATGGGACCGAGCACCAGGCCGGCACCCACATGAAGCCACAATTTCGAGGAGTTTGAGGAGGTGTGGATTCCGGAGTTGCCGGCCAGAGCTGGCTCTCTGGAATATCCTGCAAGTCAATAGCTTTGAAGAATCCAGGGCGGCAAATCCAATGGAATACCGTGCACAGAAACTGCTCATGAAACATTGTGACACGTGCCTCCATATCCTCTTCATCCTTCAAACAGCAGACGCTTCACAAAGCGCTAAACTTGAACTGCAAAGTAAAGAAAGACATATCAGATCAAACACATCTCACATCCGGCTTTCCTGAGTATTGTTTGGAAAGCACGGACATGAGCGCGAGCGGAAAATTCCACCAAGATCCTGCATCAAGAGCGTTCATCCAAGATGTTCCTTTTCCAAAGAAACTTATGATCAATGTGCACTATCCAGGAATGGTCCCAACCAAATACCTTAGTGCATGTCATATCTGGGGACACAACTTCTGAGCTTCGGAGAGTGGCCAATATAGGCCAATAGGCAGGGAAAGACTGAAGGGAATCCGAAAGTCCTCATTGTCCCAGGGATCGAGCTCGAGATGCAAGTTGCCCGCTGCGTCATTTTGAGACAAAGAGCACTCCGCTTCACCAGCTTCGTCAGCTGACGGACACTGAGCTGATGCTGCAAGGGACTCAGCCACGCAAGTGTCATTCACGGAGTGACTCAAGTGTCGCGACTGACTCATGTCAGAGTCGCTTTCATCAGAAGGCTCTGGTGAAACCTGAGAAATATGAAAGAGATTGAACAAGATTGAAAGAGCAACTGAAAGAGCAACACAGTCAGAACACCTCAGAACACAGCCCTGTCAGTCTGAGCTTCAAACCGGCTTCACTTTGGGCACATGTTTTTTCTTCCTCTGTTTCTTGCCCTTCCTGGCTTGGACTGGTGCCAGAAAGGCTGGACAATGAAGAGGGCAAATATGTGCAAAATATTTGATTAATGTTTGAGTCTGTCTGTCCTCTTCTTGGACGCTATTTTGACAACATCATCGTCGCTGAACTGGGCAAGCCTCATGCTGTAGAAAGTGCCATCTGAGTGATCTTTTGCATGGCTGAATTGTTAATACCTCTTCCGTGCTGAAGTGTTGACAGTCCCTTGCGGTCCGTTACAGCCCGTTACAGTTCATTACAGTCATCGCGGATCATGTAACTCTCTGAGTTCTCAGCAGCTCTTCGATGTCTCGAGTATCCTGACACACCAGCACAGAATTTGAAATGGTTTGGGCCGGTTTGGGCCATTTTGGGCAGTTGCATCAACACAAGAGATTGATTCAACATGATTCAACATTATTCAACATGATTCGAAAAGATTCCACCCTCGAATTCTTAAGCAAAGCACCGTCTGTTGACACAATTCTGCCTGCTGCCAGCTGGACAAAGGGAGGTTGCTCTCTTTCTGCACAACCTTCCACTTCGACAAAAGACCGCAACAATGCTTACCTGCTCGTCGCTGGCAACGACTGACTTACATGAGCCAAATCTGATGGGAAGGCTAGTTGGTTTTCTCGTCAGCAGGACCACTCCACAAAGTCAGTATGTGCCTCCAATCTCAGAGTCGGTGGAGCGGGAGCCGCTCCGGCTGGCCTTTATGCCATGCACAAAATCTCATCAAAATGAGTGTACATGTGCATTAGATGCATTAGTATCTCCATCTATTTTTCTGTTTGTTTGTTTGTCTACCTGCCTTCCTGGTGGTTCGTCCGTCCATCTGCCTGCCTGTCTGTCTCTCTGCCTCTCTGTCTCTCTCTCTCTCATATATCTGTTGTCATCTACTATGTATATATATATACGTATTATTACATATATATATATATGTATTATTATATATATATGTATTATTATATATATATATGTATGTATTATTACATATATACGTATTATTGTATATATATATATATGTGTTTTATTATATATATATATAATATAAGTGTGTGTCTGCGTGCTGGTCTCGATCCATCCATCAATCCATCCATCTATCTGTTTGCGTGTGTTTGTCTGTTTGATTTTGTAGTGTGCATGTTTGGCTTTTGGGGGTATTGTCTGTTCCGGAATAAAGTAAACACTGCAAAGTATGGCATACCGATACAGCCCAGGTCCCCTGGGCTAAAACCGTCGGGAACTCTTGATTGCCATCTAAAGGACCTAGACTCTTCTCTGGTGGGGTATTTTAGTGACATTGTCGTTCTTTGCAGAACATGTGTTGTCATTCCTTTCTAAGTGAAACTCGTTTAGAAGCACACTTCTCATCTGCCCTGCTTTGAACATTTATGAGGGAAACCATCCAAGAGAGGCTGTGAAAGAAATAGTCTTGTGGCACAGTCACGAATGCCTGAAATCTGTAGGATGTTAGTGATTCAGACCCATGGCTGGAAAAGAGTTGCGAAAGCTCCTGCGAATTCACCTAACGCATGAATCCAAGAGTCACTTCATCAAACCTTCAAGAATCCAGACTTTGACTAAATCAAGTGTTGTTGCCATTCAAACTTGCCAGTGACATGTCTTATTTTTATTTTGCTTGAAGATCTGGGCGGCTCAAAATGAGCTATGCAGGAAGCGAACATGTAAGCAGAGCACACTCGCACACTGGCGGGCCTGGTTGCAGTCTGTAGGAATTCATTGAATGTAGACTCCTACAGACTGCGTGAAATTGCGCCAAGGAGCTGCCAGACGACTGATGAACTGATGGCAAATTACAAGGCTTCATGGCAGCTGTCCGACAGGATCGCAGGATAACCACTGAGCGCCACGTATCTGCATGCAAGACAAGCAAGAGAAGTCGAAACAGGGTTTCAATGGCGTTCTGTCTCAGGTTTCCAAGAAAAGAATTCCAGCCTGACATCCTCGGAACCACAGGTTGTGTAGATCACTCCTTGAACTGTACCCTCAGCAAATACGACGGACCATATATTCAACAGTTAAATTAAGCATATTCAAACAGCACAAATCTGTTTGAGAAAATGCTGTCATACATCAAGCATTGACCCCACATTGCGTCGGAGCTTGTAGGACCCTGCAGGACCTTGTAGGACCTGTAAGTGGTGGACAAGGTCAAGGGAACCAAGTCCCTTTTTGAGGAGGAAACGAAAGATCTCGCCCCTGCCTGCCAGGGCACTCAGGCTCAATTAGGACCAGATCGGTCCAGATTGCAAAGCAGAACTGCTGACAAGGCAAGAAGAATGCTAATTTTCACAATATTGCCAAGAAAACGAAACATGCTGACTGAGGATTTAGCAGGCGATCTTCAGGACAACGCTGGATTCCGGATGCATGACAATGTTTGAATTGAACTACGGCCTCTGCGGGCCAAAAAAGAACACTGTTTTAAGTTTTAAGCACAACGGCTCTCACTTTTCAGGTCAACGCCTAGTCTTTGAGCCACAACAGCGAAGGATCCAAGGCATTCAAATGCGTCGAGCAAAAAAAAATCTCAAGCAAAAAAATATGCAGCTTGCAGGGTAAAGGCTCCTCAGATGGTCCATCGCACCTTTCATGGATCAGCGGGAAAGGGAATGGTCGAACGGTCGAACGATTGCAAAAGAACGTAAAGATTCAATCCACAAGATCCACATCGCAAGTCAACACATGTCAACATATGTCAACATCGCAAGTCAACATGCCAGAAAGTGCTGGGTGCCCCCATTGCGTGGTTGGACAGCTATGGCACGTTTTCTGCCTTGGTTGAAGTCGAAAGCTGTGTGGCCACTTGTCACATTTCTCTCAATATAGTCAGGCTCGAGCTTTTCCATCCTTCACCACAGCTTTTGGAGCAATATGACCAAGGACTCCAATCATACCACCTGCAATTTCAAAAGAGATCTGATATCTTGTGATTAGTTGTAGGGTGACAAAACAGTTGTGAATCGGTCCGGCGTGAAGTGGTCTGACTATCTGACTTTTGAATTCCGTTCATAAACAGCAAACATCTTGCAGCACAGTTCGAAGCAGCCGTCCCCAGCCTACAATTTTGCTGCTCGCTCGTTGGGTCCAATGTAGTTTCTGCAGTGTCATCCTGAGAGCCAAGCACACACATCAGCAGCCAATTTTCAACCTGAAACTGAGGGACCAGCAAACTGCGGTGGAAGTGTGCTATTAAACACTTCCATGATGTCAGCAAAAGGTGCTGAGTTTTCCTGGCCATGCAAAAAGCAAGTTCACAAAGGAAGGTACCACTCTATCAACTCTTCCGGGTTCACTTTGTAAGACTTTCACCTTAGAATCATAAAATCGTAAATTTGTGACATGTTTACATGTACTACATAAATGTAGGGACATATTGTATACATATGCATGTATAAAATCTGTATATACAACACAAATAAATGTTTGATTCATTCATTAATCCATCTACTTGTATCTACAAAAAAATCTTTATTTGAATCTAGTATGATCCTGCATGTACATATATACACACCGTAACCTCTGTCTCCCGCTTTCCAATGCAGACAACGCCAAAGCTCTCAAATCAAAAGGAAAGGAAGTCGAACCTCCATTCGCTCTGTTCGCATGATTCTACGACCTTGTATAGCTTGGAGTCAAGAATGAAATATTTGGCATCTGATTCAAACATATTTTCCATTCAATCAAACCATCCTGTGAGCGGTTGAGCGCCCGACTGGGAGTTGTTCCTATGAAACCTGCTGCACCTCAATCGGCACAATGGCAGTCTGACACAGAATGGTAAAGAAAAAAACCGTTTCTCATGTTCCATTTCTCTTGTCTGTTGAAATGAGGGACTGCTTTGATTTTGTGAAGTAATGCAAACTCAAACTGAGGAAACAACCAATTGCTGCAGAAACCCGGCCCTGAAAACATGGAATCTCAAAATACTGCTATCGTCTCCATCAAAAGGTGCCCTAAAGAACCATTGAACCACTGCACAGCAGGAAGTCTGCGGAATCTGAACAGAATACCTGCAAGCAACAAATCTGGCATTTGTCTGCTGTCATGCAAATATGTTGGTCTTGCAAGAGCATTTGGAATTCCACTTAATTTATGTGTTGATGCGAAGCAGCGGCCACTCTTGTTTTCCTGCTGAGCCTAAGGCCTCAAAGTAATGTAAATTGGTATCCATGTTTATGGATGCAACTGCAAAATGGTTGGTGACACTTCTCGATTTGTGCGTCTGTCATCCTTTGCGTCTCTGACCGTTTCTCTCAACTGACATCCATTGCAAGCACAACTGAACACATGGATTCTGGAGGTATACACTGTTGGAAATCTTTTGCACTCCTCCTTTGTCTGGTGTAGCGCTAGTTCTCCAGACAACTCAATGCATGAACCTCCTCCATGAGTTCAGATAGGAGTCATACACCGTAGCCACATCTGGGTTGCCATGAAATCTGGCAAAGTCACGCATTTCAGTGAAGCGCTGATTGAGCATCCCAAGAAAGCGGTTACGGCGTTCTGTGTTGTAGAACCCATTCTGGTGGCTGAGATCCAGCAAGTCCATCATCATATGTTGAATGATGGAGGCATCACGGTATGATTCCCTGGCCAGTGCTGCATTCAACTGAGTCACAAGGTCATCCTGTAGATTCAGCATGCCTGTTGGGCTGCTGCTTGGTCCGTCTCCTGAACCTGAGGCTGTTGGTGGATCGTCGGCCTGGGAGTCTGACTCTGATTCCATAGCCTCATCTCCATCTGTGTTTTGGCCTTGTCCTCCACCAAACTGCTGGCGCACGCACCTCATGTAGTAGTCTGCACCCATTGTGTTGCGTGACACCAGGTTGGCACGTTCAGCACTATACATGCATCGCCTCTCATCAGGGGTCAAATCTGTCAACCTTGTAAATCCACCAAGCTCCACCAAGCCATGGTGAACAGACTCAGAGTAATCACTCACCATAGTGATCTGGCCCTCAACGTTGGCCACCCAACCTTCCAGTGCACTCAAGCTTTCCTGTTGACTGTTCAGTTTCTGCTCTTGGTTGCCATAGCATCGATCTCCATCAGCCAATTGGTATGAATGGTTGGAGAGTTCCTCACGCACATCTTTGGCAAACTTCCATGCTTTGTAAACGAAACCAGTCCATAACAGAAAAAGCACTGCCATCCAGAAGAAGACCCAAAAGTGGCCATCATCGTTGGATTGTACCACCATGTCTGCACTGCATTGCAAATCGTCTCCTGGGATTCCAGCACCTGCAACTGAAAGGGGCTCAAGGCCTAGCACCATAATGACTCGGGCCACCGCCTTTGCCAATTTGCTGATTTGTGGTCCACCTGTGTGACGCAAACTTTGTTGTTCAAACTCTTCTTGTCCAACTCGAAATTCACCATTGCCGCTATGTACTCCCACTTCATGGAGTAGAAGCTGCATGCGCTGTTTGGACAAAGGTTTTGTTCCAATGTCAGCAACATTCCAAGTTGTTGAAATCTGTGATATGTCCACGAATGCCTGTCTCACATGATCTTGTATCCACAGAATCTTTCCAGAAACATGCTTTGCTTTGCCTGTCCCTTGACGACTGATCAGCTGACGCGCTGATGAAGAGTCTGTCAGCAAAATGTGTTGGATCTTGGCACCAATCACAAACTCAAAGCACCTTCGAATGTAGATGCCATCGCTCAATGTTGACACAAGGGCATGGAGTTCTGCTTCACACGAACTCAATGACACCACACGTTGTGTGCGACTTGAACCGAACATGTATTGGCCGTTCATCACATGAAGGCCGCAGCTTGTAGATCTCCTGTGGCTTTTGTTGCCACCCCAATCACTGTCTGCATGTGACTCGAGAATCCAAGTCTTCTCCTCTGATGTTTTGCAACGTCCATGGCCTGGCACAGGCATCTCCAGATCGAACAACGCAAAAATCACCTGTACCCTTCAAATAGCCAATGAGTTTCCTCAAACGCTGAAGAGAAACAGCTGTAGGTGAAGACATCTTTTGGGAAAGCTCCTTGACAACATACATGATGTCAGGACGATCACGTGCCAAATATAGGCACATGCCTACCACCGATCTGTAGTGAAAGGATTCTTCTGCTGAAAGTGGTTGTGAAAGATCTTCAAGCTGAATGCTGTTGTCACATGGCACCATCTGAAAACGTACCTTTCCAAACCATTGTTCGAAGGATTGCACTAGCTTATCCACGCTAGTTCCAGGGACCAAAGCAAGACCATTTGGAATTCTCACCAGCTTACGCTTGAGAAAGCTGATGGAACTGCCAATGCCTTCAAGCTGAGATGCATTGACTGTGTAGCGCTCTTTGAGTTTGGGCAAAAACGTCTCTTTCCAGTATTTGCTGCTTCCAAGAAACATCACATCGTCCACATGGATCATCAAGGCACATTTGGAATTCTTGCACAAGCAAGGCTGTTCTGCACTCCATTCCATTTGCAATTCCTTTGAAAGAAAATCGTGAAAATGCCAAAACCAGTTCTTTGCGCCCAATCTTTGCCCTGGTAAGTTCTTGAGCAGGACAAAGTTCCCTGTTGGGAGAACAACTCGTTGTGGTTCCTGTTGGTCCACCATCAGAAAAGCATCTTTGATGTCGACCACACCAAGTGTACATGGATCTCCACTTGGTAGGCCTTCAGAGTTCTCCTCCTCAGCTAGGCGTCCAAGATAGACAACTGGAAGGACATTCATTGTGTGACTTGATGTCGCTGGAGAGAAGGTGTCTGACCTCTTCTCCCATGCAAACTCACGAGCAACCAGGCGTGAGCGCCTGAGCCACTTCTTCCCTTGCTCAAAGGGTTTCAAGCGCCAATCATGGACATGTTTGGTTGTCAGCTTGGAGTTGATGGGAGGTCCATTGAAAAGCTCCTCCTCAATCATCACTCCCATGTTCTTCAAACGTTCAATTTCGACTTTGTCAGCCAAGTCATCCACCCACGACGGAGGTTGTGGTGGCATGTCATCAACTGCATGATCACTCCACAATTCTGTTGGCATCTGATCAACCTTCACTTGATCCTCATCCCACCATGGGTCTGCAGCGTCAAACTCATTCTCAACCTGCAGATCAGCATCATAGTCGTCCATGGTGTAAAACTCATCATTGGCCACCTTGACACTCCTGATCATGCTGGAGTATTCAGCTGACAAACGTTCAATTCTTTGGCGTTTCTGTTCTGCTGTTCTGGCTTTCTTGGCTTCATGCTCATCTGGAACATCATCGTGTGCACGGGTTGTTGAACTCATTCTTGGTGTTGTTGGCTGCGTACCTCCAACTGCACTTGAAGGATCTGGAGGCAAGACAACAGGAGCAGTTTCACTTGCCACATCTGGCACTGTAGGGCCGCCAGAAATTGTGATCTCTGGCTCCTCCTCTGACATCTCTGCTTCAACTTCAATAGCTCCTCCAAAAGTCACTGCTGGAGCTTCGACTGCAACTGCCCGTTTGTCCCATGCCATCATTCCAGCCAACTCTGCATCTTCTCGAGCTTCCTCTCGCGCTTTCTCACGCACTGCCTCACCTTCTTCATCATAGAAGGCTGAACCCTGAATGGTTCCTTGTGGGAGGCTGAAGCTGGAGCCAATTGGTTCTTTGGCCCGTTTGGTGGGGACAACTCGACCACCAAGCCCTGTTTTGAACTCCCATGAGGCATTCTTGAAGCTCACGTAAAAGCCCAAGTGGCTCTTCCAACTTGTTGCAACCCTGCGCACTGACTTGGTCAACACGATGTTGTCACCATCGAAGCACACAAAGCTGTCCTGTGCTTCCACTTTGCCAAGAAAAATCATGCGTCTCCAACTTGCATCACCCTTGTTGGGCCCACGCACAAACCCAAAAATGGGCTCCCCATACTGGCAAATAGAGCCTGCATAGCCCTTGCCATACACCAGTTCATATGGAGTCACGCCTCGATATGGGGCATATCGATTGAGAAGCCAACACGCATGTCTCATGCACCAGCTCCACAATGCACTGTTGGTTGAAAATTTCATGTTGAGCTGCTCAAACAATGAAAACATCAAACTGCCAGTCAATCCACGGATCCTGGCAATGCAGTTCTCTGCCAGTGCATTTCCATGTGAATAAGGTGGTGGTGTGTTACTTCGTGTGGGCAATCCCATTCTCAAACGTGTGTCCACAACCAGCTTCAAAAGTTGCCTGGCTGTTGGTTCATTGTCAGCCCGGTACACAACCTCTGTATACCCCAACAACTGTGGAAATGAAACCAGTTCTTGGACCATCAAGCTGTATTGCCCTTTGCTGCGCACTGGAACACACCCCAAAAAGCCCGTTTGGCTGTCAATGTACACCAATGCCACCATAGTTCCAACCTGCTCATCCTCTCGATCTGACATCGATTTTGTATATGCAAAGTCAAAAGAAATGCAGGGCACTGAAGAAGCAGTAGTTTGATTGTCACGGATCTGCTTGTCAGCCCTTGCACGATATGACACGCAAGCTGGGCACCATGCTTTGTACGGCAAATGAGTCAAATTGTGCTTCTGAACCTCTTTGTCACTTGGGGCCTCTGCCAGTGGTGGTGCATTGGGATCACGCTGAAGATCTGTATCCAACCTGTGAGCCACAGCATCAATGAGTTCAAGATGATGCTGCTTGAGGAAATTGACAATGCGCTTGTAACATCGTTCCTTGCTTCCACTCTGAGACAACTTGAAAAATCCACATGCATTGCGCAAGTCTGCAAGTTTGCTCTCGATTGTCAACTCAACACCATTGACCAAAACTTTGTCCTCGTCAAATGGTTCAATGACATATGCACCTGCAGGAAGATCTGAAACAGCTTCTGGGATGTCGACTCCTTCCAACTCATCTTCTGGAGCCATGACCCCCTCAGCAAAATCACCTGCACTCCCTGCAGTTCCAGAGCTATGCACTGCAACTTCATCATCTGCAAAGCAAAAACCCATGATTTCTGGATCCTTCTCTACGTCAGTCACCACTGTGATAACGTCACGTGGCCCATAAAGTTGATGAAAGCTTGAACTGAGATCTATGATTGATCCAACATGTTCACATAACTCCATGACCAGCCATGAGTCCTGATCCTTCACCAGAGTTGTGCGGTACTTGGGACCAGACATCTGGGGAAAAGCCAAGGTTGGATCCTGAAAACATTCAGCATAATGGCGTCCAACGCCACATCCAGTCTCGTCTAAGTTCCAACCAATGGGTCCCCTCTCCAGTTCCTGACCTACAGTGGCTTTCACAGCGCAAATTGAATTGTGGATCATGTCATCACTGTTGTCATGTTTCTCACCCAAAACACGAATCCATCCATGAACTGTCATGCTCTTGTTCTGCAACTCAATGGGAATCTTGACACCTGCAGGATGCGTCAAAACCTGTTCACGGCTGCACACACCCCAACCTGATTCCAAAAGCTTGCCAAAACAAAGGATTGGTTGTTGAATCTGATCTGAAATTGCAACATGCTCTCTGATCACTACCATCTTGCCATTCTGATCAAGCAATTGCACTTCCACGTCACGCATCCCCAAAACTGGGATAGCTCTGCCCTGAGCGTCATGCAACCTGGTAGCAGGGAAATCTGAGGCTTGGCCTGCTGTTGCAAATTTGGCTGGGAAAACAGCTGCATCAGCACCACTGTCCAGCAAGATCGGGCTCATCTCATCATCAGGGCATTCTGTCACAATTGCACGCACTTCTGCAACTTCTGAGGACTCAACTGCATCAAACTCGTCCCCAATGTAGTGATAAATCACACGCACTGAACTGTCACCATGCACATGCTGAGAACGCAAATCAAAAATGAATGGTTCACCAACTCCTCCTTGAGGATCATCACTTGAATTCTCAAAAATACGTGAAACTCTGTGCTGAGTTGCCTGCTGCACATGGCCAGATTGATGTCCTGAGGATTGGACTGATCCCACAGACTGCGCTTGACCTGAACCCACATTGCTCCATGAACTGCTGGTTTGAGCCGTCGATGATGGTGGATTCACTGATTCCGTCTGTGCACTCCTGACCATATGCCAGCAATCTCGGGCAAAGTGCCCTGAGCCGCCACAATTGTAGCACTGCTTTTCTGACTTGCCGTCACCCTTGCCTTTTCCCTTCTGGGATTTGCCTTTGCCTTTGTTGTTGAAGTCCCAATTGGACTTTCCCTTTCCAGTCTTACCCTTGTTCTTTCCTTTGGCTTTGCCTTTTTGATTGCTATCATTCTTTCCTTTGTTCTTTCCTTTTCCCTTCGACTTACCATGACCGCGTCCTTCAACTCTGTCTATCTCCATAGGCACTGCATCAGTGGAGTCTCCTTGAAGGAGGGTATGCCATTTCTGCTGGCTTCTATCCCATCTCAGGATTGCTTCCCTGACTGTGGTGTATGTGGCATTCTCGTCGAGCTGCAAAGAAAGCTGTGTTTTCAACGCACCAGAAATGCATCTAAGGACCATTGCAGTCTTGAGCTCATCTGGCATTTGAACTCCAGTCTTTCTGCACTCCTCAAAGCCCTCTTCCAACTTCAACAACTGTGCCTGAAGAGGTTTGTTCATCTGAAATGCACCCCAACTCGTCAAAGAAGCAAGCATTGCCAGTCCACGTGACTGGGTGTTAGGCCTCATGGCCAAAACCAACTGTCGAAGAGCCTCATATCCATTGCCACTTGGCACTGCCTTCACAATGGCCAGTGCACGGCATCTCACCAAGGAAGACATAAGACCGTAAAGCTTGGCAGCACGGCCTCGGGTGTCTGTCGAAGCTGAAGACAGATCCAAAGGTTTTGTTGGGTCATCTGTAACCTGTTTCACCTCACTCTCGTACTCACTGTCTATCGTCACCAGAAACTGTGTCAACTGCCAAAGCCAGTCCCGAAACAGTCTGATGTCATCATCTGCTGTAGCATTTTCCCCAAAAACCGGGGGCTTGTTGACCAACTTCGACCAGTCAATGGCCGCCCTTTGTTGTCCAGCTGCTGCACTAGGGCTCGAAGCAGCCTGAGAAGCCGACTGAGCTGCTGCCTGGGCTGCCTTGCCTGCAGCCTGGGTAGCCTCTGCTACCTGCAACAACGTTGCCTGTAAGACGTCTGGGTCCAGCTGAGTCATCACTCAGCCCAGAAAACTTCTGTAGCCCACAAACACTCACTGCAAACCTGAAAAACCAGCTGAAGAAACTGTGCGCCTACCACCTGCACCAGAAACCTGTGTATATACCACAACGCACGTCAGTGTAGGAAACCTGACAGCAGTGTTATGTCCAGGATCTGAGGGTGAAGTCCAAGCACGTTCCACACCAGTTTGAAGTCTTGGTCCAAAAGTCCAGAAATCTATGGCTAGGGCAAGGAGGCAAGAAAATCCTAAAGGCCTCGGAGCTCGTGTGGCTCCGCTACCATGCGAAGCAGCGGCCACTCTTGTTTTCCTGCTGAGCCTAAGGCCTCAAAGTAATGTAAATTGGTATCCATGTTTATGGATGCAACTGCAAAATGGTTGGTGACACTTCTCGATTTGTGCGTCTGTCATCCTTTGCGTCTCTGACCGTTTCTCTCAACTGACATCCATTGCAAGCACAACTGAACACATGGATTCTGGAGGTATACACTGTTGGAAATCTTTTGCAGTTGAACAAAATTGTTCGTCAAAGTGCGTATTTGTCTTTGAAGTTCAGTTGTTTTGGAGTTTTCTTCCCAAAGATTGCATATATAATTATATATATAACAGTGTCCAGATTTTTTCCCAAATTGCACCTCATGAACGTCTGATGACGAGTCTTCTGCCGGTCCTTCATCACCTGCATGTTCTTCGCAAATTTCGGACTTCAGTCCAAAAATTAGATTGACATGTTGATCAGAGTTGACCATTCAATATCATTCATAAAATCATAAAATGTCTCAATTTGCGCCTCCATGATTTGATGTTACAGCGGAGGCAATAGCCAATTGCCAAACAAAAGCGGCCGCACAGGACGAAGCCCAGAGCCTTCAATTTTTGCACAAAACAAGACCAACGTATCGAATATATTCGAATATTAAATACTATTAAATGCTGGTATGTGACAGTATGTGCTGTACATGTGTTGCCGAACCGGACCATAACTGACCATCGCAAAAAAACATGTTCACCAAATGCCTCTCCAGGAGGACTACACGCATGGCATTCACGCGACCTTACTTGAAGCTGCAAACAAATTCAGTCAATCAAGAAACAACCACAGCCAAGTCGAGGGCGTATGGAAGAATGGCAAGGATCTACCAAATCACAGCTGAAATCATGTCTGAGCTGACAAAACAGCATTGCAAACAAAATAGTAATGCGGATACCAACCTGGAACGTGTAATGATGCAAGTCAAATTTTGAATTCAAATATGCATCACAGGATTGTTTAAGTTCAAACTGTTGAAACTGCAAACTGCCGCAAGACAGAATCCAAATGAATTTTTGGTTCCGTTGAATGCATGGAAAACCTGCGCAATAAGAAATGGACATCCGAAGCACGACAAATCCAACAGTGCAACATCTCATGTGATTAGTAATGAACTATCTGATGAATCACTATCAAACCACGTGAACAAGGAATACAAAATGTTTGACGATGGAAATTGCAGTTCCAATACCCAAAACAATGGGAAAACATGAACCTTGGTTTGAATAATGTTAAATTAAACTAGGAAAATGTATTCAATTCAAAATGCACCAACGCGTTTGTTCGTTGCAAAGCTCCATCCATTCATTTTTGGTTGCACCGATTGGGTTTGTTTAATTTCATTGGATCGGAACTCTCTGTTGACCACATATCACTGCGGTCCGTGGCAATGGACGTTCGTTTGGCACTTGCAAATCCGTCAAAGCGGGTGGCGGTTACCGGTTGTGCATGCCGTGGCCAAAAACAGGAAAACTGTCAAATATTTGTCAATCCCAAACTTGAAATAAAGAATTTATAAATATTTCAGATACCTTGAGTCTCCATGAAATTGCAAAAGTGAAATGGAAGTGACAATGCAATGAATCTATTGTTCTGCGTTAGTTAATTAGTTGTTCACAAAATGGTTTCCATTGTTTCAACCTCCAAATTCCAAATATATACCCGGTACCCGAAACACATCAGCATCAACACAAGGTAGCTGCTGCAATACAAGAGCGCTGTTTTTTGCGTAGTGCAGTAGATCTGATCCATTACTGTACATGTAGATCAGTCCGAACCAGCGGGTCCATTATGTACAGAATCGGAGTGGATCAACCTATCCCCAAAACAACTGACCAATCCAATCCCAGAATCCGGGGTTTGTAAACCAGTTGAAAAAAGAAGAAAGTGCGGAGTTCAAAAGCACCACCTCCAGAACCATAGAAAGGTGGAGCATAGGGGTTGGTGGTGGGAACACGGAAACGAAATTGGAAGTTTGAAGCAAAACGTCAACGGGCCAGTATGAATTTCCGGGCCCAATATGTGAACAGTTATGTACAAGCACATGACACGTTCACAATATGGTTTCCATTGTTTCAACCTCCAAATTCCAAATACCCAAAACACATCAGCATCAACACAAGGTAGTTGTTGCAATACAAGAGCGTTGTTTTTTGCGTGGTGCAGTAGATCTGATCCATTACTGTACATGTAAATCAGTCAGAACCAGCGGGTCCATTATGTACAAAATCGGAGTGGATCAACCTATCCCCCCAATTAACCGACCGGACTACAGCAGCTCCTTTTTACAACGTCAGATGCCAAAGTGTTTGGGCCACTTTCGGCCTGTCTGTGCAATGTGGACAGTGGCCGAAGCAAGAAGCCCCTTCCATCCCACATGTGCAAAACAGTCTGATTGATTCAAGACATTGCAACCCTGAAATGGAGACACAGCAAACAATTTCATCGGTTGAAAACTAACTGCAACTATCTTCACATGAACTTGAACTGTCAATCTCAAGAGTCAAACCTGTCGCAAAATTGGCAAACATGTCGGAAATCAAGGGGCTCAGCATGAACACCATGAGCTGTTCCACCGGCGTTCGCATCTTGCTGTTGGTCTGCCGGCCAACTCCAGGATTCATCCCAACTTTCCTGTCCTTCATGCCATGAATTATCCCAAGACTCATCCCAATTGCCATTCCAAACTTGTGAGGTTTCTAGTCATGACTGATCTTTACACCAAGATCCATCATCTTGCCACCACATGCCAGTTCCATCATAATCATTTTCGTATCCTACTTCGTTCATTCTGCCCTTTTTGCCAAAACCTCTGCCTTTGCCTTTGCCTTTACTTTTCTTACCTTTCTGCTTGCCCTTTCCTTTAGTCACCTGTTCGTTATCACCTTTGCCTTTCTTTCTTTCGGGGCAGTTCGCGGAAATGTGGCCATACTCTGGGCATTTGCAGCACTTCAGTTTTGACAAATCCGCATCACATGCATGAGTTCCATGTTTCCTACTACCACATGTACCGCATTTCATACCACCTACTGCATCCAAATTCCAGTTCCCATCACCGTCACTGGCTGACATGTCGTAGTGTGCAATGGATTCTTCTGACATTTCCACTTGATACAAATTGTTTTTTGGGTGGAATTCAGCAAATGCACGTTGCTGCTGTTCCCAGCGCGGAGCAATGGTCCTAAATGCCTGGCACGACTCACCTCCAGTGTGATGCACACAAAACGTCCTGACCGGATCTGGTAAACTTCTCACCAAAACAGCTACCAAATCAGCTTCAGCTACATGCAACCCTGTGGCATCAATCCTACTTGACAACGTTCCCAGCAACTTAGAATACCTGGCCATCTCGAAGTCTATCTTCCTGATTGTGTCCGTGACAATGGTACTTGCACTCGTTTCATTACCATGCAGTGCAAAAGACTTTCCAGCTAAGGCCGTCCTGAAACTAAGTGCCTCACTTTGTACTCCAGGGTCAGCTGTCTCACCAACCCAAAGCCGTTGGATGCTTGCAGCTCAGTGTTCACACCAACATAAGCATTGCACAAATTGATTCCCTCACTGGACGCATTGATCAATGTCAAAGTTCTCGGATGGTTCCCAAATGCACTTCGAAGGATAGCTAAGAGCCGTCTGCTTCTAGCTCGTTGCGGCACGGTCAATTGGTTCCAATGCAAAGGGTCTGGCCATCTGCAGGCATGTTCTATCTCACCTAGACTGGCCTGCACAGCACATGCCGTGAGATCATAAGTGTAAGCTTGCCATCCAAGGATTTCTGCTTCTCTACTGGTCCACTTGCCAACATCCACTGGTGGTGTTCCTAGCCGCTTTTCTGATTTCGCGGACACATCGCTAACATACTCACCAGATGATAACATGCATAGGATCCATACTTTGAAGAAATCCACTGGCAGTTCTTTGCCCAAGCATCTCCGGCAAACCTCTAGCTTGACCTGCCTGATCACCAAGTACTTGCCTGACCTGCAACAACTGCATCGGTTCCAAACCTCCCATCAGCTTCAGCACTTCTTGTAACCTCTGGTTTTGGGGCGTCACTCCATGCACATGCCTCCAGTCTGTCCTGACCCAACCTGTCCTAAATCAACTCCGCATTGACCTGATGACCATGGCATTTGACATGCACCCCCATGATCTGGTTCCTGACTTCTACCTGTGCTAGCTTGGGCATTTTGACCTGCAGTTCCCATGCAACCTTCTCCTGGCAGACCTTGTCCTTGCAAACCCTGTCCTAGCAGACCTTGGCATGGCAAGCCTTGACATGCACCACAACCTCCGCATGCATGACCTTGACCTCCAAGAAAACCTTGATTCAAACCATAGTTTTGGTTGTCCATCAAACCACCTCTAACCGGTCCATAAGATCCAAAAACGTTCTGTGCAGGAGGGGGAATGTGAGTTCCAACGGGTCCAGTCCCAACTAAGTTCCCAGCTTGTCCAACTAAGCCCGGGGCTGGTGTTGTCGCTGTTCCTACAGCTGCTTGCTGAGTGTTCCCTTGCATCGCGGCACCTGTGGGCGAATTACCTGCAACACCTGGATTTCTTTCAGTTCCTGTATCCCCTCCGATTCTATTCATCATAGGCGATCCTGGTCCGAATTGCAGTGAGTTCATTCCTGACGCACTAGTCTGGTTACTTGGCCCATTTCCCTGGAAACAACTTGCAGGCATCATCGCGTCAAGCGTGTGGAGTGCAAACCGCTCCGCTACCATGCGAAAATCCAACAGGACCTAATTACAACCACTGGTCGCGTTCGCGCGTGTCGTTGGGGCCGGCCTCACCGCGTCGAGCGTTTAACAAACCAAGTTTCCCAAAAACAACGGCTTCACTGCAAAACCCTCATATCCTTTTCCACACAGGAAAACGAGCAAAGTAAACTGTCTGTGCAGTTGGTTTGGCATGCACATGCAACATGCTATGTTTGCAAGAGCCCAAAACCCAAATGCAACTCCAAGAACCAACGACCTCTGGCACGACGGCTTCAAGCCCCTTTTGCGCAACCACACAAGCAACAACACGCAGCTGTGCTAAGATTGTCTCTTAGACAGTTTGACTCGCACTCCTTGAGAGTGAAAATCGATAGCGGAAGCTCGATTTCACGTTCAAACAATTCCGAGGCAAATGCAAACCTGCTTGATTCAAAAGTTTCTCTTGACAAAAGTCACGAAATAAGTGACGTCCAAAATATTTGGCTTCAGGTTCACAAATCCCTAGATCCACAAACCCTAAGCTAATTAGTTAATAAAGATAAGTCATGATCCCTAAAACAGCAAGGTTTTCTCCCATCAACTGCCATCTCTCAACAACAGCTTTCAGCCTCAGACAAATGATGGCGTCAGTCATTATTTGGGAGAAAACCCAAAACACTTTAGGGGTTATCAAACGATGACCTAGCGATGAACCAATGCAAAAACTCTACATACTGCGGTCAACGCAAAATCCTTGTACTACAGTCGGTCTCAAACAGTTTCAAACAAATTCTCCCAGCTCAGAAATCCTCTGAAGATGGTAGATATAGAAGTGAAGATGGTAACATCGAACGTCACGATCTCCAAAATACAATATCTATAGGCAGCATGTCCCGATGCTTCGACCAGAACAACGGCTGCTTGTGCCAAATTCTACTGCAAATACACCACTCTGCATCGAATCTCTCGGACAAAACAACCGCAATCAAAACACCGTCCGAACAAAATAACTGCTTCTCCTATCGAATTCAGATGTAAATGCGTCCTTCTGCAGCAAATCGACCAGTGAAAACAGCTGTGACCATCATCACAGCACACAAATTCCCAATGCAGAAACTAATCACACGGCACACCACCAAAA